TATATTTAAAAGCAATGCTTAAAGTAAAAAGTTAAATGTTCATTAATATTTTCTTGTCACCATCCTGTCATATTATCATTTTATTTCACAATCGAATCATTTTTACCCACCCACCATATTAACCTGTTCAGATCAGAACCACATATTTTATGGGTAATAATGCCATATGTTCCAAATGTTAGAAACATTGTTGTGGTGGGATAACTATTGTGGTTGATAGTATCTATATTTTCATTTAACAGTTAAGCCAAAATCTTTTTAGCAGTTAAGCCAAAATCAGTTAAAACTTTTTTTAGACAGTTTTTGTAATTCTTTTTATTACAATTTTTGTTGTGCAATACTTTTTTTCAAAAGCAACACTTCAAGTCAGAACATTACTTTTAAAGTTTTAGATTTAATTCTAATTGTAAAACATAAGCATTGAGTTATGAAAAAAAAAATTAATATTCAAATATTTATTTTGAAAAACTGCAAAAAAATCACTTTTTCCTTTTTTTGATTTTTTGCATCTTCTGAATATTAATATATATTTTGAATATAAAATTTTTATATATAAACCTAATATTTCATTATTCTTAAGTACATATATAAGTTTTAAATAATAATGAATTACATAAATAAATTTCTTTAGATTTTACTTTTAGTTTTTAGTTACTTTTAAGTTTTAAAATTAAAATAGTTACATATTTTCAATTGTTAAAAAAATTTCATGGCAATACTCATAAATTAGATTGTTAAAATTTTTTAATTAAAAAAAAAAAAGAAGAGTTAATATAGCTTTGACAAGCTAATAAAAGTTTTAGGTGTGCGAAAAAAAAAAATAAAGAAGATCTGAGACAAAGTTTACAGAGTTCAAAGTGTAAACTCTTCAAAATTATTTTCTAAACACCTGGCTCAACAATAACGTCTATTACTAGGCATTTAAAAGCAATACACAAAATTAAAATTCTTAAATGCAATAACTCTGCGTCCTAGGCTGTCAAATCAAAAGCAAAATTTTCAGCTATGGTACTCTTGCGCCAACTTAAAATTCTTTATATTTCAAGAGATTTATATATATTTTTAACATATATATATATATATACTTTTAACATATATATATATATTTTTAACATATATATATATATATATATATTTTTAACATATATATATATATATATATATATATATATATTTAACATATATATATATATATATATATATTTTTAACATATATATATATATATATATATATATATTTTTAACATATATGTTTTTAACATATATATAAATATTTTTAACATATATATATTTTTTTTTAACATATATATATATATATATATATATATATATATATATATATATATATCAAATAAGATTATTCAAAAAATTGATGTATATACACCTAAATAAGTAAAGAAAGTAATGAGGATGACAGTTCTTGAAACATTAACAAGGATTTTTAAATATTTTTAAATTCTCTCATACATCATAAGTCTGAAATTATTTTTGTATTTTATTAAACCAAAATAATAGGTTAATCTACCTGCTCACCTTGTAATAATAAAAGGAACTATGCATTATGAAATGAGCAGTACTGTTGAGTATTCTGAAGCCCAAATTTTACAAATGATGGGTCGAGCTGGTCGACCACAGGTATTGCTTTTAGTTTTTTTAAATGTTTCAGCTTTTAGTGCATCTTTTTTAACTGTAACAGGTTTCTAAAGAAAATAAAGTTTATTAATTTTCTTAAATAATTAAAAAAAAAAAAGGATTTTTTTTAAATTTTAATTTCGTTTTTCAACTGTATAGTTTGATACGTCTGCAACTGCTGTGGTGATGACAAAAAATCAAAACAAGGTTAAAGTTTCTTTTGTTAATTTTTTGTAAGTATAAATGTTTTTAAGGGCTTTTTATTTTTATTCCAAAAGGATGCTAAATGTTAAAGAATGTAGTTTATCTCATATATCACATATTTATTTTTTACTTAATATTTATTATTTATCACTGTATTATTATAGTTAAGATGTACTTCAATCTTTGAATAATTAATAATTTTTTTATAGAAAAGATATGAAGATCTTGTGTCAGGCAACCAAAACATTGAAAGCAGGTGATTTTTATGTTTAATCTAGAAAAGTATTGCTACAAGTACTAGATGCGATAATGTAATATTTATATCTTTATTTATTATAACATAACAGCTTACATCACCATTTAACTGAGCATTTAAATGCAGAAATTGTCCTAGGAACAATAGAAAATGCTGATGTTGCTCAAGACTGGTTAAAGTCAACTTTTTTATACAGAAGGATGCAAGAAAATCCCAAATACTATGGTTTGTATCAATTTTATTGAAATGTCCATAACTTCAATGTATAGATTGTATGTCTGATAAAAATTGTCTTTGTAAAATTTAAGTGAATAATAATGAATAATAAAGTGAATAAAAAATGTTAATTATCTAATAATTATATTAAATATTAAATTAAATATTTTTCAAGCATTAAATTTATATTTTGTATTAGGGGCTCCTGAAGGTTTGGATAAAGATGCTCTTGGGAAAAGATTACAAGGTTGTTGTTTTTTACTTGATGCTTATCAAATTTTCTAATATTTTTTTTATGAATACTTAAGCATTTTAGCTAAATTTTCAAAGAGTAACTGTTTCCTAAAATTAAAAAAAAAAATTTTTATAATAAAAGATAAAACCTTTTCTAGCTAAAATTCTTGAATTCTAGAGTATAAACAAAATAAAAGATAAGCTTGTAATAAAGTTGTTTATTAAAAAGATAAATTTTTTTTATTGTGATTGTTTTATTTAAGCTATCATGATTACATTTGTGTGTATCGTAATATACACAGTTTTTGACTGTATTTAGTTAAAAAAATTACTTTCAAATTGTTTTTCAAAATCTTTTTCTTGAAAAGAAATGTCCAATTATAAATTGTTCATTTAAAAGAGCATATTTAAACTCTCTTCCCCCATCCCCAACCCCTTCCCCCTACCCCCTACCCTCCCCCCCCCCCCTACACACACACACACCTTTTTTTTTTAAATCTAATCATATTAAATTTCAAACATTTTTCAAAATAGATTTATAAAACAAAAGGGTAAGTTAAATTTGAAGAACTTTAAATTTTTTTATTCTAAATTTCTTTTTTATTATCTAGTTAACATTTTTTTTTGCTTAATTGCTATATTATTTAAAAAAATATTTATTATATCCAGTATTTTATATTTAATTGTTATATTATTAAAAAATATTTATTATATCATGTATATTATATTTAACTTATTATATATTAAGTTTAAATTTTTATTATTTGTCATAAGCTATGTGTTTGCTTTCATTGAAGACGCTTCAAACATTACATTTGGTGACTTGTGATAGTAGTTACCAACTTAAATCAACTGGTATGAATAAATATTGTAAAATTATTATAACTTTTTTTTAAAATGTCAATATTGTACTATTGTATAAAAACTATATTGTATAAATATAACTATAACTATATTGTATAAATATAAATTTTTATTTTTTATATTTTTAGCTAAAGTTATATTGTAATCTCAATATTCTAAGTTTTTTTGGTAAAATAGTCAATAGTAGGTTTTTTTAAACATTGCTTATTTAGAAACCGGAAAGTTACTGGCCAGATACTGTGTTGATTTAGAAACAATGAAGTTGTTTTCTACTGTTAATGGAAATGAGGACATGGCAGACATGGTTAGCTTTTTTTAAAAAGTAATATTAACAAAAAATATTAATTTTTCTAAGCACTTTTTTCTATAGATTTCACTTTTATCCAATGCTGAAGAATTTAAAGAAATAACTATCCGTCAGAATGAGAAAAAAGTTCTTAATATGCTAAACAAAGACAAGGAAAAAGTGACCATAAGGTATTAAAGACATGTCTTATATGTATTATTAAAGACATTA